CTTGATCATGTTTAGTATATAAACAAGGATCGTATGATGATCTGCATAAGTTTTCCCCTTTTATAAAGTCGTTAAATGTCTGATTCCAACAAAAAGATGCCTGTCTTAACCCATATATTGCTTTGTTAAGCTTTAGCACTTTTCTACTATCGCTGCTCTGCTCGTGATTTGATAAGCCTTTTGGTTTTTCCATGTATATGTTTTCTTCTAGGTTGCCATTAAGAAAGGCGAATTTAACATCCATTTGTCTCAGAATAAACTTTTTGTGATTTGCGATTGCTAAAAGAGTTCGCAATGTAACTAGCCTCGCTACTGGTGCATAAGTTCCTTCATAATCGAAACCTTTCTTTTGCATAAAACCTCTAGCAACGAGTCTTGCTTTATATCGAATCGGATTTCCATTCTTGTCCTTTTTCACCTTGAATACCCACTTGCTATCGATAGTTTGTGTGTTGTTGTCTGGTCTTTCCACTTCGGTCCAAGTGTTATTGTTTTTCAGGGATTCAATTTCTTCTCCTATAGCATTTGTCCAAAATTTACCATTTGGTCCACTCTTCGCTTCATCAAAATCAGTGGGATTTCCATGGATAAAACTTGAAATATTTAACGCTAGATGCTCAGTTTCATAGTCGTTCAAATAATTGGGTTGTTTTCTAGTTCTCATACTTTTCCTTGTGGGAATTACTTCTTCTTCTTCTTGAGTTTCGGTTTCCTCGCTCACTTCGATTTCTCTTTCTGAAACTTTCATATTGTCTTGGGGAGTTTCGATTTCTACGCTTGCTTCAATTTGAACGTTTGAATTTCCATTGTTTTTACCGGAATTGATATGTGTAATAGTCTTCCGTTCGTCGAATGCAACGCTTCTGGCGACCGTAATCTTTCTGGTTATTGGATTCCATACACGATATCCGTTATGAGTATATCCAATCATAATTCCTTCTTCTGCCTTTGGTTCAAATTTGCCCTTTTGCTTCTCCTTTGGTATATGACTATAGACAACGCAACATGCAATTACCACATTGTTTTTAATTATATGTACACTTTTATTTGCAAAAACTACTTTTAATCCTTGACTTTCAAGTTTTTGTACTGATAACAAATTGTGCCGTAAACCTTCTACGAGTAATACATTCTTTATTTCAGCCCGTTTTCCTGTATTTAAAGTTACATTTATATTTCCTATTTTACTAGCCTTTAAGTTTTCATTTTCTTTTGCTACAGTAATATTTATTGGCTTATCTAATTTATTAATTTGAGAAAAATAGGATTCATTACATACCATACGGTCGGCGGCCCCTGAGTCTACATACCACATGATGTGATTGACTGGACTAACTTCCATTGATGCGACAGTTAAAAATGCGGTAGGCTCATCTTCTTCTTCATCGTGTCCCCGAGCATGTCCCACTTCGTTCGCTTGTTTCTTGTTAAACCAACAGTCTGCTCGCAGATGACCTGGCTTTCGACAGTTGTGACAGATGATTTTCTTTCGGTCCATGCTTCCGTGGTTTTTCTTTTGCTAGTACCCTGCTTTATTTCTGCTGTCGGAGAATGCTACATTTGACGGTGCACTTCGCTCTTGATAACTGTTATTCTTCTTTAACTCAAGAATTCCAGAGTTAGTTTTTCCGTTTCAACGGTTTCTAGAGCTGTAACTATGTTGTCGTATTCACTCGGTAGTGTTATTAACAAATGACAAACTACGTCAACATCTTCTAATTTAGCACCTACTGATTTTAATTCTCTGACCGTTCCTTCAAATTTTAAGAAGTCCTCTTCCAATGTTCCTTTATCGAATTTCATCGTCAAAAGTTTTTTTCGGAGATAGATTTGATTGGCAATACCTTTCCTTTGGAATACTGCTTGCAACGCACTCCACATTTGAAAAGCTGAATGTTTATCCTTTATGTATTCTAGATGTGTATTTGCCACACACTGCACAATGATCGATTTACACTTTTTGTCCTTCTTAAGAAGCCCTTCTTCTTTAGAATCTGCATAATCAGTCAGAATGCATTCCTTGACCTCGTGTTGATCAAGTATAATCTCCATATGAAACTTTCAATCGTCGTAATTTTTGCCATCAAATTGTGTAATTCCATATTTCTCGACCGAGTTACTTTTCATTTTGGTATATTGTCGTTTGAACCGTAAGGTAAGAACGTGTATTCATTTTTTATTCCGTTAAAAAAAACGTGTCGGATTCTTAACCTCAAAAATATGCAGTTTTTAGCGCATTTTTGCAAATTTATTTGTAAAAAGTAGCTTTTAATCTCACTTTGGCTGGCTGGCTGGCTGGCTGCAAATTTGGGCGCGTAGAAGAACTCTTGTAGAAAGGCAACGGGTGTACGTGTATGTACAAGGCCGTGAAATTTGTCAACCTTAGGGACATGGCTACATGATGTGGTGTTGGCGACATCCTCGAGCGTAGTATGCTAACGTGAAGGTTTTTCAGTTTTTTCCTTCTACTACAGTTTTGGTCCGATTCTTTTCAAATTGGTGTCGTCAGAAAGATGTTGTAAACGCGCACAACTCCTGCGTGGTGGAATTTTGTTTTTTGTCCTAGGGGCGAAATTAACGATCTTTTGCGAGGCGCGTCTTCGAGAAGTAGTCAACTTCGGGCGCCTTTTACCATCCGTTGCGAACTCACGCGGTTTAACGTTTCGTAAATCTCGAATCGCTATCTCTCTTTCTCGTGTCGCCAATAGAAGCGAATTGCGGGTGAACGGGACGTCGGAAGTGGCTACCGTCAAAGGGAATGTGGTAGCCCCCGACCCGATTTTAACTTTAAAAGCGAATTGCGGGTGCACGCGGAAAGTGGGAAACGGTTAGTGAATGTAGTAGCCTTCGACAAGATCTGTTATGGATGGTTGAGTCGAAAGTGGCTAATAGAATACTGATCTGCCACACAAAAATGCGCTGAAGTCCCTTCGATCTCACACGAGGACTTTGATAATTTTTTCAAGCACAAACACTACTGGTCCCATAACCTATTGTTGTAATTGTAATAAATGAATTGCACAGTGTACTTTCCTTATAAATTTGTTTAGTTAGTGAATATACTTGAACAAAAACATGAATGCATAATTTGTAAAAAACGGTAACGCAGTTGTACTTCATATTCGTAACCACAGACTATATCAATAACATACAATGTGATACCTAAACTACCTTCTGTATGGCTACACTCAACAGAACATACGCTTTTGTAATGCAATGTAATTTCCCTATGTTCGATTTTAAAAAAAAATTCACAAATTTCGCAATCCTTGCAACCATCGGAGACATTGGAAATGATAACCGTATAACCTATAAAGTCATAAATAACCCTTCACACGGGATAATCGTAAACTTTCTGAATAATAAGCGGCGTAACATGCTTGTAATACTATCACGGGCGATGTGCGAGAATTTTCAATTTAACAAAACCCCTGCGCACTGTTAACTAAGTACCGTATCGACAGTATCCGCGACTTTTCCTAAATCTACCGATTGCAGTCGAGTACGGTACAATCAACACTAGACGCGACACCACTGTCTTTTTTTCTACTCCGCAAACCTGGTAAATTCATACCCATACAAAACAAGCATTTCCAATGCTAAAACGCATGAATCTATGAGGTGTGCGCGGTTCACATTCCCACTAGCAAAACGCGCAATTTGCGTGACAGAACAGCATAAACTGTTTCTATAGTCTTCATCATGAAGAGCACTCGGTAAGATTTTTTTTAAAGAAGCCATGTGAGGCCCTAGCAACTTTAGGATAAATTTTTCCGAAACTTAAGGTAACTTTACCTCACAGGACACGCGCTGTCACCACAATTCATTGTGAACCAACCTTCAATTATTTATAGGTCATGTGCACCTGGTATTCTACTAATTTGATCTATTCAATACATACATGAAGAAAATAAGTAAATAACTAACGAAAACAACTACAATAAATGTTCAAAGTGTCCTCCTTGACATTCTGAGCAATCACCTAACCGATTTCGAAATTAAATTAGACGGCGGTACTTTTAAAAATATGACAGCTGTCAATTTTATCTACTACTCATTTGAACTACCAATAGATTGTTGTGTTCTTTTTAAATCGAACATAGGGAATTACATTGCATGCAAACTCCTATGTTCGCATTTTAAAAAAATTCACGTATAGCAGAGTAGTCTAAGAACAAATAAGAAAACTTTTCAATCTAGCATTACTTACTGAAGGATTTCTAAAAATATGAGTAAAACATGTTACCTACAGTCCCATAAAAAATCAATCTTATTACATTTTTATTTTGCGGAGATGTAGCCGAAGCGACCACGAGCAGAAACTATATATTTCGTTCTCTAACTGCACAGGCCTCATAAAGTTTTAACAAGTATATAGGTGATGTGAATTATTATACAATGTATCATTCTACCATTACGCAAACTCATTTCTTTGACATTTCTTTTTATCCTGGACAAGTTATGGTTACAATTTCTATTTCAACTACACACTGTGCAATCTTATTACTTATAGTGAGAGTGAGTTACATAATATTTGTACTGTTAAGTTTCGAAACCACAAATTAAATTTTAAACCGTAAGACAAATACAACAGCCAAGTATATATGTAACTCAAAAGCAACTAGTTTACTAACATGCACAACTAACTTTCATCAAGAGCACATGGTATGTTAACGACCAAATGAAACCGTGCGTCACATGCAATAAATGAAGTAAATTGAACCTGATGTTGCTATTACTATAATTAACAAATGAAAACACCGATTACATAAACGCATTTAGTTTAATTAATTGGAAGCAAAAAAATCAACTATTTTTAATTCAGAAAGTAATTTTAAGAACCAGGGGCGTTACATTTTACACCGCGTTAAAGCATTTTAATGGGCCTGTTATGCAAATATAACTCATAATCAACACGAAAGGTTCTCAATAACAATTATTATTTTATTTCGCATTAAACACGTTTTGAAGCACCTATTGTATTTATTATTTTGTTACAGTTCAATGAAGAATTCTCTCGTTTCACTGGATTTGAGTTATAACCAACTGGATGCTATTCCTTTCGGAGCGTTCCGAGATTTACGTAGTCTACAATGGTTAAATTTACACAGGTAAATTAAATGGTGTTTACACAAATTAATTTAAGTTTGTTACCGTCCCATAATTACGTTCGCGATTTGACTATTGTGTTTGCCAAAAATAATAAAAGAGTTAACTGTAGCAAATAACGTTGTGAACGTCGAATTCAACATCATTACGTATTTAAATAAACTTTTATTTACTCTTGCAGAAATCAAATCAGTTTCATTGTGGGTGACTGGTCACACGTTAAAAATACGTTAGTCAACCTGTTTCTTGGAGAAAACGACATCACAGAATTGTCTTCGGAAATTGATGAACGACTTCCGAAAGAATTTCGTGGATTCCATCAATTTAAATCATTAGTATGGTTGAACTTGGATGGAAACAAACTAACCAAAATCTATAAACATTCCCTTCCTATTAGTCTACAAACTCTAAGTGTCTCCCACAACCTAATAGAAAACTTTCCACTCGACTCAATTTTAACTTTACCTCGATTGCAGTGGCTCTATTTGCGTGGTAATCACATCGAAAGTTTGCCAGATCATAAATTTGACAACAAGTTACGACTAGAGAAAATTGATTTGGGAGAAAACGATTTAAAAACTTTACCTCGTTTACTATTTAACACCTCTGTTTACGTTCGTGATTTAAACTTGGCATTTAACGATTTAAATGGCCTTATTGCCGAAACTTTTCTAGGAGTTTCGTGTAAACGAATAATCTTATCTTATAATAAAATTGAAACTATCGATCCGTTGGCGTTTCACGGAATTGAGGACGATTTGGAGTATTTGGATTTAGATCATAATCGTCTGTCGCAATTTCCTTTCAGTATAAGTACACTACCGTCTTTAAAATATTTGTATCTATCTTCAAATTTCCTCACTGAGATACCAGATGATGCATTCGCAAACTGCTGCTACTCATTGAAAGCAATAAGTTTTAGTGGAAATAGAATTAATAAAATTCCATCCGTCTCTTTTCAGAACTGTACTAAAATTGCGCATTTTAATTTTGCTTACAACGACATTTATGATATCGAAGAGAATACGTTCACGGAGTGGGCTTCTACAATTGAAACTTTAATCCTAAGCAATAATCACATTACAAACTTAAAATCCGATATATTTTCCAATTTAGGTAAATTAAAGGAGCTTAGCATAAGCTTTAATCCATTAATGTACTTAGATCCCAAGGCATTTTCAGGTTTGCACAATTTGCAAAATTTAGAAATATCATTTGGATTAAATCGTGAAGAGATACCGGAAGAAATTTTCAAACCTTTGGTTAACTTACAGTTCCTCTCTGCCGATAACAATAAATTTCACACAATGTTTGAGCACTCTTTTGAGCACTTATCCAATTTAAGATTTCTGAATCTGGAATTTAATGACATTCAAACTTTGCCAAAGAATTTATTTACATCGACCATTCATAGACATTTGACAGATATCAGGCTGAATAATAACAAAATTTCCGTTCTCAACCCGGATACATTTAATAATCTACCTGAATTGGAAGTCATATTATTATCTAGCAATACTCTACAAAGTATTCATAAGTACAGCTTTTCATATCTGCCAAATTTGGAACATTTGATTTTAACGGACAATTTAATCGCAAAAATTAGCGAACACGCGTTTGCTAATCTTCCCCTATTGGCGAAACTGGATTTGCAATTAAATCGTTTAACGGAATTTCATTTTAATTACTTTGTCAATATATCAAATTTAATTCAATTAAATGTTAGTTGGAATAACATTCATAATTGCCAAGCCGGCAAGCAATTTCTCAATATTGAAGTGCTGGACATGAGCCATAATAAGATATGGAATGTGCCTAGATGCTTGGAAAATATTGGATTACTCCGAAAATTGTATTTAAACTCTAATAATATCTCCGCTATAGAACCGAAGGGTTTTATGCATTTGACGTCACTGGAACAACTAAATTTGAATGAAAACTCGATTGAAATAATACACAAACACGCCTTTGCCGGTTTACAGAATGTACAAATTATAGATTTATCGAAAAACTTTATTCCCCAGTTACACAACCACCAATTTTCGAGTACTCCCAAATTACGCGTGCTCCGTCTAGGTTACAATAAATTAAAGTACTTGCCTAAAGAAGTTCTGAGTAACACAATGCTAGAAATGCTAGATTTGAGCTTTAATTTTTTCTCTGTTGTCCCCAGTCTGAGTTTAGCAGAAGTTGGTGGCAGTTTGAGACATTTGTCGATATCTTGGAACAATATCGAGCACGTTGACAGTACGACATTTCCAGATATTCCATATCTCCGATATCTAAATTTAAATAAAAACAAGCTCACCATTTTGCCCGATAATGTATTTACTAGTCTCGGTTTCTTGCAAACGTTGGATATAGGTGACAATCCGTTACGTGCCAATTTTAAAGAGTTATTCCATTACGCGCAACATCTAAAAGAACTCAATCTCGCCAATACAGGTATTATTTCTGTGCCATATTTACCACTGCCAAACCTAGTTTCATTGAATCTATCCTATAATAACATAGAATACATCGAAAAAAACTCCCTACAGAATTTAAAGCACTTAAGGCATCTGTACTTGAACAACAACGACCTAACCCAAATCCCTTCGCATTTATGGATACATCTGCCTTTTCTAAAAGTGGTAGATTTATCATTCAACGCAATCAAGGTAACTTGCATGTTTTCTATTTGAATGTTAAACGACTATCATACCTTCCCTTAGGAAATAACGTCTGAGAGTTTTTACGGATTACAAAGCCTACAAGAATTGAATATAAATGGAATGAAAAATCTAAAAAAGTTTGATAGCAGAGCCATTAAAAAGATTCGAATTTTAACCACCCTTACTATGCAAACGTGGCCCAATATAGAGGACTTTTCGACGCAAATGTGCAATTTGCTGTCAAGCTTGAAGCAATTACGCATATTAAAAATTTACCTACAGGAATCGGTGTTAGACGAGCAGTTAATGTGCGTCTCCAATCCTAAAATACGACACGTCGAAATTTCCGGAAAGCATTTGAAAATAATTCAACCGAAAGCATTTTCAAAGTTTGTACGAAATCCGGATTTAGTCTTGAAAATAATTAATACTGATATTGAGGAGTTGCCTAGTGGATTATTTTCCAGCTTTCATAGAACTGCGCACCTAAGCATAGAGTTAATTAACAACAAACTATTGCATCTCAGTCCTGAAGTTTTGTACGTCAACTATAGTTCTTGGAAGAAAGTTGGCGCTACATCTATAAAGGGTAAGTAGACCAATTTAGATGTGATAACTTAACTAGTTATAAATTCCCCTACCAACACATGATGAATAGCTCCAGAAAGCTCTAAAACATTAATTAACTAAGTAGCAGTTACTTGCTTTCTGATGATCACTTGCATAGGATTTAACACGTTTGAGCGGCTTTAAAGGAAAGTTTTCCTAGAGAAACTTTCTACAACTTACATTTACGATTGAAAATTTGTGTTTTAAATATGTTCAACAGGCCGTACTTGTCATTAATTCCTTGAAATGAGACATTGAATAATATTATTGGCGCGTGTGAGAATCTTGCACCGAAAAACCGCATAACTACTCTTTCTTTTTTAACTAGGATGAATTGATTCACACTGAAAATAACTCTAGAACCTCGGCATCAAAATTAATAGACACATTTTATACTAATATATATTCTGGGTTGTGTGATGTTATTATTATTTATTTATTTATTTATTTATTATTATTATTATTTAACCCTCTCTCGTTCTGGGCTCTCAAGAGGCTTGCGCCCAACGCTATTTAGAGGTACCCTCGCAGAAGAACTTCTATACTACTCCGATATTTTATCTTCTAGGAAAACTGCAGGGAAAGCTAATTCACAGTAGTTGACAGAATGGAAATTCCCATCTCTATCACAGATGAAAAATTCTTACTTAGTCCGAGGTTCGAACACCCGACCTCCGGCTATGTAGCCCAACGCCCTACCACTGAGCCACATAGACCATTTCTTTCACATTTTGATAGATTTCATTTATGCTTTTTTATATTATTAGGTAGCAACTATGAGTCTTTCTTTACCTTTATTGTGCATATGCATTATGTTTACATCATACTTTAAAAATGTATAATATTCTATCAGGTATTCTATTCATAAGGGGAGCCCGTCAGCATTTAGGATCATTAGTGCCTACCCCCTTTCTTGTGCAACAAGATTCAGAACCCGTTGCTGTCAATACAGGATAGGACCTAATTTAACCTAAGCTGCTTCACCCTCCTCGGTTCCAGATAGCTGGAGCTCTGATCAAGGCGCCACAGTGACAGACCACATGTTCGGTAGTTTCAGCTGCCTAGCTACTTGCACGTGGGCTTTCCTACAAGCCCAATGTTGTGCAGGTGATCTGGCTTCTATTTAGTTTTATAAGCTTGGGAGACCCAGATTTACCAAAGGGCCCTGTTAAATAGCCCTGGACTGTCTGAGTCCGGTTGCCTGTTACCCAATCTTTAATCCTGGCCCTGAAAATATAGGGAGCAATTCCTAAGGTAGGCTCGGGCCCGACGAAGACTCCACCACTGCTTTCACAAGCTACCTCGTCTTGCCCTTTCGTTGCTCCCTATTCCGCAATGCGCTGGCACCCAGATTAAGTTTAACCCGTTAGATTCACCTAAAAAGGGGTTTACACTGGTCGATTTTCGCCGCGCGGCAAAAATCGACCGTCGGCTAGGCCGCAAGTGACCAAAATCGCTTGTTCCAAAGCTGATGTCATCTCTATCGTTCACTATATATATCCATGCCCGTTCCCCTTACCGTTAGGGAACCGTCGGGGACCCGTCTGTAAACTACACGAGCCCCTCAGGTTTGAGTAATGGACAATCTGAGTTCAGCCGCTGCTTCCTGTCCGGGAGCATGACCACTTTGGTCTTACTAAGACAGGCCGAATCACATTCCTTCTAGCGAGGAAGGGATCGGTTCTGAGGATTTCCCCCCAGATCTTTCCGTGCCCAAGGCTGCCTCGATCTTTCTATTCGTTCCAATCGTTCAGCCGTATTTATACCGAGTCGAGGGTTCAATCCCCATGTACAACCAAAATCCCTTCTACATGCCCATTGACATGCAGTGAGCTTATTCGCTGGATATGCCCGTTCCAGGTTAGGCGACCTGGTCAAACCCAGTTAACGTGTGCTCTCCTGCTATTTGTAAATGGAACAACCTCGGTCTTTTCCGTGCTAACGGGGAGACCATGGGTACTGACCCTATCCACCTGTTCAAGAGCCCTATGCATGAGCTCTTTCTCCAGCATGCACATGAATCTGTGAAGAGCCATCTCCGTGGACATACCAGTCCCGTAAGTATGGTGAAATGGATGTAGTGGTCTGAGGACCAGTACCCCATTCTTTATGTGCGCTTCTATCAGCTTCTTCGCCGTTTAAGAAACGATGGTAGGGGTCTGTAATCCTTCGCCATATATCACATTTGGCACGAGCCGGTTTATGTAGATACACAACTCTTACCTTTCTTCAGCATTGGGTGATATACTTACCATAAAGTCAGGCATGCTCTAAAAAGATCCAACAAGTGTTACAGCAGCGACTTCAGACCCTTTTGCAAAAGAACCGGCAATATTCCGTCCGGTCCTGCACTCTTAAATAGGCTGAAAGTGTTGACCGCCGATCTCAGAGATCCCTTGGTAACCACCCGAGTAGCTACTTTCCAGTCGATCGGCATTACACAGACTTCTATTCTTCTTGCGAATAGGAGATAGCCCACCACCAGGTCCTTGAATAAGGTCCTGCGTTTGAGCCGTCCCCTCTTTCAAGGAGCCTACACCGTTACCGGGCCCCTTTTGAGAGCACGGATTGTTGGTCCTTTCTGACGAGGAGCCCAGAAAGGACGTGTTTGAATTATCATCCATACAATTCCCATGAGTAGTAAGGCAAAGGCGCTTGCCCAGAGCTTGGCTACCAGCCCCTTCTCAAAGAAATGGGTAATCCGATAGCCGAGGGACATCTTTATCGACACTGCACCCCAGCGTCACGCAAAAGTGACAAAGCTGAATGAAAGAGAGGCTGTCAGTGCCTGTTTACAAATACTAAGCGATCAATAGACAATTAGTTAAAGAAATCTTAATTATTTAGTTTTTAATAATCCAATAATCTGGTGGTTAACTACAATTTCCTGTCGCACAAAGAACTAAACAAGCATTCATTGATGGCTACAAAAACTTCGCTTCTTTTCTATTACTCTTAATCTTGATCACACGAATTGGCTTTGTTGAATTTGATGATTATAGATTTGTGACTTCTACAATGGTGGACAGGCAAGTCTTTAATTTAGTTAATACATCCCATATTTTGTTTTCTTCCTTGATAACGTGTTGCACACACGCCAAGGCTCACAACAGCATTATGAAAAAGTTTCTTGACTTTTTTTAAATTTCAAAGTATCTATTTTTCAATGCCACCTAAGTTTTGTTTTGCCCATACCGTTTCAATTGGGTTCAGTTCAGAATGATGGTAATCTCAAGACGATTTTGTTACTGCTCCGAGCCATTTTCTGAATTGAATTTATTTCTGTGCAGCTGATTGAGGTGAAGAAGTTCTGAACGAACGATATCTGCATCAAAATCAATTTGCAATTACAGTGCGGACATAATATACCCCCCCCCCCCCTCCATAACTGTTGAAGTTCGGTAGGTATATTAAATTTGAAACGGTGCTACAAGAGACAAGGAGCGACGGATTCTATGTATATGCCATTTTCAGGTATCTATGTTGGCTCACGAAGGGCAAAGTGTAACACTAAAGACCTTTCCTTACCATTTTTTACAAAATTTTTCGAAGCCAGTGTGGCAAAGCTCACGTCGTAACAAAATTACCACCTTCTTGCTCGTTACGTCTTACTAAAAATCAATAGCAGTGCCTTGTTTGTCGTAGTTTGATATTTCAAAGAGATTGGTTGGTTGTAATGCTGCTTGTTTAGCTGAACATAATGCATTATCGATTTTAGGAAGGTACAGGAAATCCTGGGCTTCGGCACGTAATATACAACAATAATTCCTTCGTCCTTTATTTGTCAAATATTTGCACGGATCTTTCGTGCTTCATCCGGGGACAGTTCTGAAAACAAATGTAGTTCTCACCAAAAAATTTGATGTTTATAAATAAGATGTAAATTTGGCATATGGTTCAAAATGACATTAATTTCTTGTATATTAACTACCCGTCATAGCTAGTATTTAGGTAGCTGTGTTCGCTTTCAATTCCAAATCAACACCAAACCCCTAATCTAACTGAAAGAACCCTTAGAGACGTTGAATTAACAGAAACTTAAATGAAAACACCAGTAAACAAAAAAACACTTCAACAATTTTTTACTTATATAGGTAGCTTTAGTCTGGTTCGTAAAATGCGCTAAAAGCTAAAAGCTGCCATTCAAGCATTGAGAATGATTCCAAAAGTTCCACTTCGCTTGGGGTCGATTCATCGCCCACATCTAAGAATTTAAAAAATATTGTAAGTGAATGTTTATCCCTGTCACCTAAAGTAAAGTAAAGTACTGTTTATAGAAGATGTTTACATATATGTTCATTTAATTGTGCGAAAATGTCGACCGTGTCTTATATGAAAGGTAATCATATACTACTACCTACAATTTTTTACATAAATTCCATAATAATAAGGCGCTAGTCAGGGCAATTCGCAAAAGATACAATATTGAGCTCGGAAACCAGTATTTATTTCCCCTAATTGTCGGAAATCGCTACTAAATATGAGGAAACACGCTTAAAATCACGACTAGTTTACTAACAAATAAACCTTTAATTACTCTTACCTTGCAGAACGTTGGTTCTTTATCTCATCGTAAAACCATGGACTATGATAAAAGAAAAACATAGTCCATGGCTACTTAGACTAAAAACTCGTGAAAACAGAATCTTTATAATTAATTTTTTCGCGTAGGTACAAGAAGAGGTAGAATAATCGTTTCACATGATTTAGATGCAGAATTTATATCTCTATAACTTTTATTTGAAGTATTTTTGTGTAAATAACGTTTGCGCAAAGGAAAAGTAATTTCTCATGTTAAACGCCTATGTTCCACTTTTCGATTTACACCCTGTACATTACTTATAGGTACCTACAACAAAATCGGTAGAATAGCTTGAATTATGAATAAACTCTGCTTTAGAGTGGGCTCACTTGATAGGTTTAATGAAATGCTTTTCAAACGAGTGCACTTTGCAATCATAAATCAAATTTGAAATATTT